GAGCCCTGGCGCTGTCCACGTGGCCGGGCTCCCCTCCTAACCGAGGCTACCAGAGCTGCACCTCCACCCAGAAGTGCTTTCCACACAATACTACGTGGTTTCTCTTTGTCTCAGTTACTCTCCTCTCATTGCTAAGATGAAATATGGACACCCCAAATCAAAGAAGGAAAGGTTTATTTAGCTCACAGTTAGTGGAGGCTTCAGTCTACACTCGGCTAACTCCAAGGCAGAGTGGCACAGGGCAGAGGACAGCCATTTATGGCTGCGCAAAGCAGCAAAGAGCAAAGGAAGTGGCAGCAGGTGGGGCAGCTAGCAGGCCTCTCGCCCCTCCTTACATTTGTGTGCAGATTATCTGCCCCAGGGCGGGTTTGGTACTCACACCATAATCCCAGCCTTGGATCATGAATTAATCATTAACTCTAGAAGCCACCCCAAGGACTACACTAGACTTTAGAGAGACAATTAGCCACAAACCATAACACTTTCATAGAAGAAATCTGAAGTATAAAGAGGACGGTGGAAACTAGAAGGCTATCTGGAGGTGGAGGAAGACGAGAGGAATCGAAGGGGGAAGTAAAGAGGGCCATGCCGTGTGAGCATCTCCACCAGGAGGCGCCCTTGGCACGGGCGAGCCTCTGCGTGGAAGCACATGCCACCTGGCTCCTGAAACACGGACTCTGCTGTGGGCACCCCGCTGCCGCGGGGCAGAGCCGCTACACAGTCTACACAGCCCCAGGCCCCGCTTTTCTGCTCTTTCTTCCACAGGCAAGGGGCTTGTAAGGTTTATGACTTTAGAAAACACCATTACTAAGAACAAACAGAAAAAAAAACACATGGACCGAGTGGACACAGCTAAGTCTGGCCACCACCACGTGTCTCACACTACACCCGTGCTCCCAGGTATCCCTGGGCCCTTCTCGGCTTTGTTAACATTTAGTTTTCATTTATAATGAGGCACTCCTAAAATAAGGTGAGGATAATAAAACTGAAGGGATACTAATGTGATTTAAAGATATTTTAGAACATTTTAAAAAAATAAACAAATTTAAGATATTTTGGTTTTGGAGAGTTTTTTTTGACTCCAAATCTTACTCCAGAGTACACAAGCAAGCCTGTAATCCCAACACTTGGGAGGCTGGGTCAAGGGGATTGCTGTGAGTTCAAGGCCAGCCTGCAACCTACCTAGCTAGATCTTGTCTCAAAAAGCAAACCAAGAATCCATAAAAGCCACATCCCTGAGGGTCCTCAGGCCCAGAGGAACTCGGAGGCCACGCTTGGTAGCGTGGGCCAGCGCTCTCCCAGACCTTGAGGCCACCCAGCCACGCCTCCACCCAGCCACCTGTCCAGTCCCAGAGCTTGTACCTGTCAAGATCACAGGGAGCAGAGGCTGTCCAAGTGCCTGTCCATCAGAGCAGGTGCAGTGCCCAGGGCCCACACACCAGCTGGACGCCGTACTGCTAAGCTTGTCCCCAGCCCTCAGCTGGGCTTTTTTGTAGTTTCTCTTTTTTTTCTATTGTATGTTTGGGAGCTGGCCAGATAGCTCAGTGGACTGAAGCACCTGCTTAGGCAGGCTGAGACAGCGACTGAGACCAGGCGTGGTGACGTGCGCCTGGGATCCCAGTGCTTGGGATGCTGAAAACAGGAGGATCACTATGAGTCCGATCTGTGCAGTGAGCCGCAGCATCATGGAGGTACAGGTGAGTATCAGTCTCCATAATTCATTAGCCCAACATGCACACAGTTACTGTGGCAACCAGAGGCTCCCCCACAGCCAGCTGCAAGCCAGGGGAGGCGAGGCCAGGCCAGGCCCAGGTGAGCCCACCGCCCACTCCTAGGCAGCTCCCAACTGCGCAGCCGGCAAAGCGGGCCTGGAACCTGGGTCCCTCGATGGCTCTTCTAGTCTGCTATTTACCCCTTCCAACCACTGAGCCCTCTGTGCAGGAGCAATGGATGCACTCACGGCCTTCCTTCCCCAGGGAGCGAGCTGGGGTAGCCCTGAACAGCCTGTGGCCTGCACCTGCATCTTCCCAGAAAGTTACTGTGCCCCCCTATGTCCTCACCCTATCCTCTTCATCCCCATAGTCCATGTCCCCAGGGAGGAAAGCACCTCCCACCCTCAAGCTATCATGGCCTGCAGGTGCTTGTTAGAGTACAGCATGGGGTACCTCTCCAGCAGGAAACTTGGGGGACAAAGGTTTATGACTCATTTGTCCAGGGAGCAAGAGCACATGTGACATGGGCGCTATTTATATCCCCAGACTCTGTCAAGCGTGTGATCTGCCCACTGTGACACGGCCAAGGGAAGAGCTTCTGTCCAGCTAACAGACGAAGGAAATGAGACCAGGGCAAGCCTGGCCCAGACCACATAGAGGGGAGCAGAGCCCAAAACAGAACCCAGTCCCTACCTCCCACATGACACAGACTGAGAAGACAAACTACTTCATGGTTCGGCCTGATCTAGTACCGCTTCTTCTCTACCCTCCTATCTTTTGTGAGGATGTCTCCTGAGGACACCGTGGGGGCAGGTACACACACCTAGTAGTTTCTCTAACACCCTGCATGGCAGTGGTGGAATGCAGGGGCACGTATCCCAGAGCAGCGTTAAAAGTGTGTGGGACCACAGGCGCTCCAGTCCTAGCCCTGCCACTCAGATCCCAGACACGGCAGCAGCCACCAGGCGCCAGCCCTCCTCCCCTGGGGAGAAAAATTTCCCACTGTTTCATGTTAAATTCCACACTGTATGTTAAACTGGAAATTATTAGTGAAGAAAGTGGTGTATGTTTTTTTTTAAAAAAGAATGAAGAGATCTAGCGATATCAATGGAGGTCTACACAGCACTCACTTTAGTGGCCACCTGGGACACTTCTTTCCAACAAGATAAACTGAGGAATCAGTCACATGGTGGGCAGTCAGGTGCCACAGAACGTTCCACATCCGAGGCCTGGGTTTCCATCCAGGCCCTGGGCTTCATTCACCTCGCACACCTCAGCTTCCTGTCTACAAACTGAAGGGGTCACATGGCCTGGGCCAAATAAAAATGATGCATCTGGAGTTACAAATTTACCACAAAGCAAAGACAATGTCCAAACTGTTACTACTTTCTTTTTTTTTTTGGCAGAACCGGGGATTGAACTCAGGCCCTTGCGCTTGCCAGGGAAGCACTTATGCCACTGAGCCATCTCCCTGGCCCAGTCCAAACTGTTAAGAGGAATTCTAGGAAGCAGACAAGCTTGGCAGAGACCATGACTTACTTGCTGGATCTGGGGACCACCATCTCGGCTAGCGTCTCATACTGCTTGATCCAGTCATTGTGATTCAACCTGCAGAAAAGGTAGGGTCAGTGCTGGCTAGAGATAGGGCTTCATTCCTACCAAAGCCAGAGAAAAGCTGCAGGCAAAAGGAGCTGTGGCTACAGTTACCAGAGGCTCTCCCACTGAGCACCACTTTGGAATACACCATACACCATGTGCTCAGCCTCACATCCAGCAACCACTGCACAGGGGCCCAGCAGTCAACTGGGAAAGGAATAGGCCTGGAATTGATGCCCTGAGGTTTTCCAGCTCTCTGCTAGTAAGTGTGAGGCCTTGTACGAATGGAAACAGCCCACAGCCAGATCACCATCATTTCTGACCACGGCCAATGTGAAGGGCTGAGCAAAACTCCAGGTACAGAAAGCACATAGTACTGGAAGTAAGAATCTCAAGCAAGTCACTATGTCGCCAGAGGTCCTTGTGCAATAGCGTTCTCTGGAGGCCCCAGCCCAGGTGTGACAAAAGACAGGTACATGTGTGACACAGGATCAACACAGTGCTTGCAGGCTGGGCAGAGATGGAATGTAGTGTGTAAGGTGCCACAGGCAGCCCTGGGTGTCAGCCACAGAGTACACAAAAGGATAGGAGGTTTTGCTTTTAAACATAAATTTCAAGGAAAGGCTGAATGAGACAAACACATGGCAAATGTGACTTCCCTACTTGTTACAAGAACACAGATACACAGAAATGTAAACAATCAGC